TGACAGCACATTCCCAACCTTGGGAATGCCTCCAGTGGAGAAAGTTCCCAGAGGGAGCTGGATCCATTCACACCCAGCAGCAAAGCCCTGGGGGTCCTGTGCCGCTGGCCCCCTCTCCAGTCCTTTTCAACCCCCACCACAAATGGTGGTTTTGGCCCCGGCTCTGCTGAAGGAGGAGATTTATTTTTGCTGCCCTTCCCCCAGCAAGAATGTCAGATTTTGGCATCTTCCTCTCCCAGTTACCCCAGTCTGGGCCTCCCTGCTCCTCCCCTTCCCCGCTGTCCCAGCCCAGCCGGACCCCCGTGCTCTGGGGGCTCTATGGGAACCGTCCTGGTGGAGGAGTTGGACCAGTTCCTGAGGGGGGGGACAGCGCCTGGTCCCCCACCTCCCACCCCACACGCTGCCATTGCTGTGTTCCCCCTCCTGTCCCTGGAGCAGGGTTATGTACTGGGACCCTCGACTGGATCCGAAAATCCAGGTTTCCCCTCCTGGAACCCCCTTGGAGCCGTTGGAAGTGGGGTGTCCTGTCACCCTGGAGCTGTTGGAAAGGGGGTGCCCCATTCCCCCCTCATTCGGGGCTGGTCCCATGCCCTGGAGCTGAGTTTTTCCCCCAGTGCTGCCAGGGATCCAAACCCTTGGGAGCCTTTAAAAGAAATCTGGGTGCAGCGGGGAGGTCCCATGTGGGTGCTGGAGCTGCTCCCGTGGCACTAAAATGGGGTGTTGCCCCACGGAGCACACGGAGGGACACCGGGACCGGAGCGGGCTGCTGTGTCCCCACCACAGACCCCTGCACAGCACTGCTGGGAATGGCACTGACCTCGTTACTGTCCCCAAACCCCAGAAAGAGGGACATTTTGAGAAGCCCCTTTGACATCAGGGGGGGCTCTTTGCATCCCGGGGCCACGGAGGGGCTGGTGGCATTGCTGGGTGCTGTGCTGTGGGGGGACGGGGACAGGGACGGGGTGGCAATGGGGGGGAACAGCTCTGGTTTTTGGCAGCCGCGGTGCTGATGTGGTTTTATGGGAAGGGCCGCACGTCAGACATCTTGCAACCAGCTCCAACAAGCCCCAGCCTGCCCCGTGCCTGGATCCGGCCCCGCTTCCAGCCTCTTTAACCCTTCATGGGGCAGCGCTGGAGCTGGGACAGGTCCCCAGGACATGGGGCTCTGGCTTCTTGACCTGCTCTGAGGTGGGGACCTCCGTGGGGTAACCCCATCTCTGCTCTTTGCAGGTGCAGAACCTGAATAACATCGTCTCCTTCCCGCTGGACAGCCTGCTGAAGGGGCAGCTGAAGGACAGCCGCCTGGTGAGTCCCCTCCAACACTGTCCTCAAGGCTGCAGGTCACCCATTTGGGGACATATTTTAGCGAGACCCCTGTTATGGGCTCAGCTCATACCCATGGCCAGGAGAAGGATGGAGTGAGTCCCTGGAGCTGGAAGGGTGGGGAGTGACAGGAGCAAGGGGTGAAGACCTGATGGGGACATCCCGTGTCCCCAAGGAGCAGGGTGCAGCGATGCGAAGTCCCCAGCTGCTTTGATGCCACCAGGTCCTTCACCTTCCCTGATGGCTTCCATCCCTTCTCTCTTTTTCCTGCAGGATTCCAAGAAGCAAATCGAAAAGGCCTGGAAGGATTATGAGACCAAAGTGTAAGGAACCCACGTGCCACCTCTGGCAGAATCCACCTAATCCCACTCTGCACAAAGGTGTTTTGTCCCACGGACACCCATCGATGCCAGTTTGCCATCTGGAGGGCTCTGGTCCAGCCTTTCCCAGCTAGAGAAGCTGGAGATGTTTCTCCTGATCCCATTCCCACTATAGCCCCCTGGCATGGGACACCCCTCAGGGCAGGGCTGTCCCCAACCCACCACCGTCCCATCCCACAGGGGGAAGATGGAGAAGGAGAAGGAGCGAGCACGCTTGGCAGGGGTCATCCAGGCTGAGCCATCCGCGGTGGAGGTGGCTGAGGACACGCAGAGGGAGCGGCGGCTCTTCCAGCTCCACATGTGTGAGGTAAGGGCTGTGCTGGGGGGGACAGGGACCCTTTGTCCCCAGGGGGATGCAGGGGACCACTTTGCTTAGAGCTGCATGGGGATGTTGGAGCTTGTCCCTGTCCCCA